TAGCGAAGGAGCAGGCGCAACAGGCGGAGGCGGAACGGCTCGCTCAGGAGGATGCAGCCCGCACTGCAGAGCAGCATCGAATGAGAGAGGAGGCAAGACGCACAGTCGAGTTGGAGTATCAAGACCGTTTTGCAGAGCTCAAGCGCGAGTCGAAGCGTCTTGAGGATGTGAAGCGCGCTGCTGAACGCGCCCTGGAGCTTGCCGAACAGGCGCGACATACACCTAACGATCATATTGTCACGAACCAGGTGCGCTATACCGGCCGTGTGCGCCCTTTACCTCACTGACTGGTGATCTTTTGCGTTCCAGCCTCCTTCAACCCGGGCCGCCTCACCTATACCGACTACGCCGCCGCCGATGCCTACTGCAGCTCGTGCACCTATCACTCCCACTCGACCGACGATGTCTACTACGTCTTACGCGCCTCAAACTCCCACCACGCCCACCAACGGTCATACTCGTCCCCTTCCCAGCGTACCCGGCCAGCCACCTCTCGCCCAGTCTAGACCGTCGGCTGAATCCCATGCTCAGAGCGCGCACAAATATCATCCGCCCTCGCCAGTGCCGCCGCCGCCGCCGCCTCTGCATTCGCGTTTGCCTACGCCACCGCCTGTTCAGAACGCGCAACGACCCCACCCACCCTCGCCATTGCGGAACTCAAGGCCTCGTTCAGGATTGCACCAGCAACAACAACAACAACAACCGCCGCCCGCGCCCGCGCCGGTGCCCCCAGGCCCTCGCCCCGTACCTCGACCTCAACCTCAACCTCAATCTCAACAGCCGCTATCACGTGATGCTTCCGTCAGCTTCACTGCGCCTGATCAATTGCATGGTCTTATTTTCCTGCACATCAGTATCCATGCCCATAACGTCCACGTTACTTCGAATGGCACGACACTGAAGTTGTCCGGCGCTCGCGACCGTGTCACACAGGCGCTTCAAGCGATGCGGAGTCTGATCACTAGTGTTTCCGCTTTCATCGCTATCAAGGTCCCACTGGCGCAGGGCCACCCAGCTTTGGTAGACTCCACTGCGCCTCGAGCTATATATATCGAGACGAGTTGCTTCGCCTCTCCTATAACAGGTTCTACCGAAGTCCTCGTTCAGGGACGGCCAGAGCATATCAGCAAGGCGCTTCAATTCATCACAGGCATGAAATCAGTGAGTTGTCACCTTATATGTACGGTTTGGCGACTCGGACATTGATCGTTAGCAGCAGGATCCAGCAACTTCCCCAAATGTGGCAGCTCCATCGACGCCTCAGGGGCAGGCAACCACAGGACCATCTATGCCACCCTACTCTGGCGCTTCCTCTACACAACAGCCTCGTCCGTCTAATTTCGGTCCCTCGCAAAATCCGGGCGAGCTCTTTGATGACTTATTGTCTGACCGTACCCCTCCCGATGACCCTACTCCCGGAGCTTCGAATCCGGACCAAGAGATGCACGACACAGTGGAAGAGGATGGTATGTATCTTGTTCTTCGTGTGTCAGGGGCTCATATTTATTATGCGATACAGGCACTAATGAAACCTTGGGAGGACAGGGAAGACGCCCGTCAGCCCCCGCCCAATCAAGCACTCAGTGTCCCGCACCCTCCCCCCAGCTCGCCACAGAATATGTACGTGTCGAGGCCTTCTTCTCTCAAGGTTCAGTGGATGCTCACAGCGTTGCAACGTTCATAGGTCACGCGAGAGGAGTTTCGAGCGTACCAGGAGCAACAAGGACGATGCAATGCGGCCACCGACCCGCCGCGCCCGTCAAGAGGACGTCCAAGTGAAGACGCTGTTCGCAAGGCGACGATGAAGGCGTTGCACATTGCGCCTCCCAAACGACAGCGCAGAACAAGAGGTGGTCAGGTGAATCAACTTCGCGTGAGTTCCTCCTGCATGAACCCGATGATATGGGTGCTCATCCCCGTCTCTAGACCGTTCTTCGCGGTGTGATATTGTCCTTACTCGAGCGGCCTTCTTCGAAGGCACCCTTCCCGGCCCATAAGATACCATCACACAATCGTATCGCCGCATACACCACCCACGGCATCGCTGGTCCGTCTAAGGATGACTGGCTGGTCGATCCGACTGCCAAGTTCGCCACGGCATGGAATCAACAAGCGGGTATTGTGCTGATGGACATTCTTATCGAGAACGGGCACATACGTGCCGACGAGCGAGAGTCTGCCTGGGCATGGTTTGAGAACCATCATAATGGGACTCTTAGGTCCCATTATAATGCTCTCAACGTTGGAGACGAGAGAGCGCGCGAGGCGAACAGGCAGAGAACTAACAAGAACCAGCGTAGAGAATCGGTTCGTCCCCTTTGCTTGTTTGTCCGGTGCGATGGTCTAAATGCACGCATCACAGCTCGGTATGTCACGCATGACCGTTTGCTCGAGTCGCAACGCCCTAGCAGAGGTTGGCGAAGTTCTCAACGATGTCGGCGCAAGGTCAACTGTGCATAGCGACGACGAAGAAGACCACGAATCTGCCAGCCCCAGGTATGGTATCGTCGACGACAAGGACTGGCGCGCAGATCTGCTACGCAAGTTCTTCCGCCACTGTGACGTTCTTCATCTCGGCGCCAAGTTTGACGAGGGGGGTTTGCATCGTACGGCTCCTGGTAATTGGTTCCGCGTTCGCGTACCAAAGCCAGGCGCGGTGTCCAGGTCGTCATTCCCAGTACCTGGCTTACCAAGCAACTTCTACGACTCTTCCTGGGTGGCCATGCAATCTCCGGAACGGCTGGCGTGGCTTGACATGAAGCCTGAAGTGCCTTTGGACTTTCCTCTTGAGCTTCGCATGTGAGTGGCGACCCCATTAACCCACACTACAAGCTCTAACGCATCGTGTAGCCAAGCTGCGAGGATTCTCGGCATACTCCGCGTGGATGGTGCTGTTAGTGACTGGAGGACTCTGCGTGTCAGTCAAGCAGAGCTAGCCATGCTTGATGAATACCTGGACACTGGACGCCGTCCCCCTGCGACTTATGGGGCATTGTAGTCACGACTTGCATGATTTGTACGGTTACGCGAACTATGTACATACAATTTGCAGTATGAATTCTCCCTCCACCCTTATTCTCGACGCTGTATGTTGCTAGATCGATCTCGCGATCCCGGTGATCCTAAATATGTATGGCCATGCCAATGACTTCCACCTTTGGCAAACTGAGCGCAATTGCACTTCATGGACTTTCCGCATGCGATGCGCACGCGCGGCGGTCCGCCGTCGCGCGGAACGAGCGCATGTTGCGCTTCTTCTTCGACGACCACCTTATAACACTCACCCT